GTGTAAAGTACAGCCGTGGAAAAAAATTGAGACCACTCTATATTTTTAAACAAATCTGCATTTTTAAATCCTGGTTTAATTGTGGTTCTGCCAGCAGAGGCTATGCTGAGCAGCGGGATGCTTCCAGGTTCAAAATTTCTAAGACAGCAGTACAGAAAAATAAGGTGAAGCAGGAGACACTGGAAATGACCAGAAACCAGCCAGGAAAAGGGTGGAAGCGACATTCTAATGCCAGAGATGACCGTTGACTTATCCGACTGTTTCTCAAGAATCGGAAGATGACATCAAGTGACCTTCAAAAGGAATGGGAAACATTAAGTGGGGGTGTGAAGTGCACTGCCAGGACATTACCCAGGTCACTTAAATGTGAGTGATGGAACTTTGAAACTTTCAACAGTTGCTTGCTAAAATCCATCTAGAAATACCAAATAGGCCAACAGAAGTGGAGGGTGAAGCTACCAATTGCCAACTCAAATATTATCGTGCCTTCAAATTTAACCTATGTTGCTTTCTGAGCATAATTCATGTGCCATTTTCTTGAGTGGTATTTTAATTGCTTAATTTAGTTTTAAACAATATCTTTCATAAACAAACTAAATCAAGCTGTTTATTACAGCATTTAATGTAACGTATTTCATCCACAAAGAAAAAAAAAATGTCCCTAACTTTCCCAGCGAAATCACTTCCCCTAACCCTCCTGGGGGCTCTTGGTTATCATGTGCCTGTTGCTCTCAATCCTGTCGCCATGACGACGGGGCGGTAATCGCCATGGTGAGGATACGTTCTCCCTGCTTGCTGTCTCGGTGACCCCCCACCTAGCGGCTCTCTGTGTCTCTCCTGCCTGGTTTTCAGTGTGATAGCATCTCTGCACTTTGAGTTTACGTACCGGCTGCGTTTGATCATCAACTTGGGGAAAATGCTGACTTTATGTCCCAGTGATGTTTGGTGAGTCATTCCCGGCCCAGATCATGGGTTTCTAATTTCAGATTTACCCCCAGCTGGGCCATGTGCCATAGCCTGCTGTCACTTTTCCATGAAGTGGGGGTGGAAACAGAACTCTGACATCTACAGCGCGGGGTAACGTCCCCCCCCCCGACACTCAGCGTGTCATGATCCAGCGGTCTGACAGCGGGGAGCTGAACCCATCTCCAGAAACAGCGCTTTCCCCAGCCAGCCTGACCTGGCCCGCTTCTCCAAGCGGTCGGCCAGCATGGGAACACAGGCCTGCTTGGGCGCTGTTCAAGTCCAAGTCAGTCCGGCACAAAGCACCGAAACCTGGCATTGCTGAGGGGTTCAAATTCACGTAAGCAGAACCAGAACAAACGTATCATATCCAGACATTAGAGGGAGCACTGGCCTGTTACTGAAAAATAAAACCATGTAGCTTGCTCTGCTTTGTAATGTATAATCCAGTGCCTGAGGCTGTATCTGCAAATCCATTAGGAGACTGTCTGTAGATTATAAAATAATGAAGATGGATAGCAGCCCGGATGAATCATTTATTAATGTAATCCTGCAGCATCATCATATTAATAAGACAACGACCCGAAACTGGTAGGTTGACCATTGCCAGTTCATTTCACCTTTTACATTTGACCATTAATATTACTCCATTTTGTCATTCAAACAGATCAGTCTATCAGTCAATCAATTGATCCATCCATCCATTAATCCATCCATCCAGTCATCTTTCTCTCTATCGTTTCCCTTTCTCCTAGCATCCCATTGGTGATTATGTCATACCGCAGCCTGTGTGGCAGGTGATGTCACCATGGTCCTCGAAAGATCATCCCAACAGTGTCTGAGGCTAATAACATCCATCCTGGGGAAGGCGCTGTTGTATAGTTACCCAGGGCAATTAACTCGATAAATCTGAACTGTCGACAGGTCTGGCTGAGTGCCAGGAATCGGTGAACAAAGTGGGTCTCTGACACCTCATTTAGTGGATTATCCGGCAGGCGAGAGGGAAGCCCGCCTTTAAAGACTCCTTCTGAAGAGTCTGCCGCCAGCCAGCGTGAATGAGACTCCATAAACGAAGGCACATCGCTGGGGCACGTTAAACATTTTGGAGAAAAAAAAGAAGCAGTTAATTAGATAAAGGGTGAATTATGAAAAGCAATAACGTGCATCTCATTCATATGAAAATGAGGCTGTTAGTGATCTAAGAAACCTGAAAGTCAGAAGCTTTACACAAATGACCCCCCAATAATCACTATCTGTGTTATCGCATTTTTCCCCTGCCGGTCCTCGCTGATGTCCATTAGTGTTGTAGCTACGTTTCTCATGCCTGTGGACCAAACTGCTTGCCAGGACTGCAGGACAAAATGCTGAGAGCCCAACCTCTTTATGGAGGTTTGCCAGCCGTTCAATCGTTGGCCACCAATGACCGAACGCAACTGGGCAGATTAAGGGGATCCCTGGTGACAGGTGGGATCCCTGACAATGGGTAGATTTAGGGGATCCCTAGTGACAGGTGGGATCCCTGACAAAGGGTGGATTTAGGGGATCCCTGGTGACAGGTAGGATCCCTGACAACAGGTAGATTTAGGGGATCCCTGACAATGGGGGGATCCCGGGTGACAGGTGGGATACCTGACAACAGGTAGATTTAGGGGATCCCTGACAATGGGGGGATCCCGGGTGACAGGTAGGATCCCTGACAACAGGTAGATTTAGGGGATCCCTGACAATGGGGGGATCCCGGGTGACAGGTGGGATCCCTGACAATGGGTGGATTTAGGAGACCAATTTGGGGGATCCCTGATGATGAGTAGATTAACGATTCCTGACAACTTTGCTGACTGACAGTAAATTCATAGACATTCATCCTGGTTCATAACAGTTTTTTTTATTTCATTTTTACAGAGACATTTAAACATTTAAAAACAACATAACTACAGTTGATTTTTTTGTTCATTACATGAGACAGTTTTCTTATAAAATAAACATACAATAGGCAAAAAAATAAAAATAAAAAACTCTGCAAAGCTTTGTGCAACACATCAGAAATTGAAAGCTAACCAGGCAGAAGAGTGTCTCTGTACATAACACAATAAAGATGAACTCATACAGCTATACATTAATGGGGCGATAGCATAACAGTTACCCTGCTCTGTACAGATTAAAAGAAAAAAAAACGAAAAAACGAAAGACTTCACGAGGGTAGCATGCCCACACAAAGACACCTTCCGTCACGGTCCTCGGCGTGTAGAGGGCTGGCCGTCACCCTGGTGACCTCTCGTCTCACTGGGTGCTGGAATTCCTGCTCTTCCCTGGTCTTCCCTCACCACTGAACATCCTCAAAGAATTAGGTAGCTTTTAAACGTCACTATTAGACCCTGAGCCTCGGGTACTCAGATCTGCTGGAATGTCTGGGGCATCTGCAGGTGGTTATTATGGGATGTCTCAGCATAGAGCCACCACCTGGCTCTACTTTCACCTTATGAAGGTGTCACGAACACAAAGGAGGGAGGCGGACTCTGAGGGGTTCCACATAGATTTTGCATGGATTCTGATGTGGATCTCTCTCTCTAACGTGTCAAAATAGGGAGGAATTCTTCTTTGGGAAAAAAAAGTGCCCTGACTCTCACCTCTGACTCTCGTAAACAGTGATCCCCAGTAAGTGTTCACGGCTGCTCCAACTGCATCACACACGATGTTACTCTGTCCGTCGGCACTATTTGGCAGAATCGATGAGTGTCCGGTAATACATATAATGTCCCAGAGCAGGAGGTACAGCCATGGAAAGTAAATGTCTTTTTCACCATAAGAAAAGTTTTTGTTATCTATACACTTTTAGAGTATTATTACTTTCTTTCTTTAAAAAAGGAGGAAGATACTACGAAGAGAACGCACTCGGGATCAGGATGGAATGACCGGAAAGTTGAGTACACAACCAGATAGGATACAGAACCGGATAGGTTACAGAAACTGGATAGGAAACAGAGGTGGATAGGCTACAGAATACCAAAGCTAAAGGGAGGTAAGATGTCACACATCTGCAAACGTTTCCAAGGCGACAGGGTTCCGAAGCAGTGGCTTCGCTCAGTCCCGAGGGGCCCAGAGTGCAATCTATGTGGCACACTCTGTAAGACGAACGTACACAGACCATGAAGCACTGTGATGCACTGTACAGGAATTAACATGTCAGAGCGCCACCCGCTGGCAGATGCCGCGTCAGGTGCTCCGCTTCTCTTTGCATAACGCTCAGTTTTGGTGGGACGCAGGTCAGCACAAATGACGCTCCCCGAAGCCTGAGGAGGCTCAAGGGGTCGGTAAATGCATAGGCTCTATCCCAGGGCCCTGGCAAAAGCAAGCGCCCCCCTCGCCTTGGGAAAAAGAGAATGGTCAAACGTATTAAATCTGGACAATTGATCCTCCAGCACCCCCCGCTCATGAAATTTTAACACCAGTGTCTCTCTCCCCCCCCCCCTCCAATTGGTAAGCTCTACATCTTGTGCTCCCCCTTGGTCGGGAAGTGTTACCGCCTGCACCCCGCATGTCAATTAACAAATTATTGATGCTGCATTGTTTTTAATTCCCTCTCGTTTCTCTTTCGGCTCACAGAAAAACATCAGGGGGTCTGTGTGGGGGCTCAAGCCAGTTTCCCACAGGGATGAATGTGCCCCGGGGAGCTTCCTGTGGTGAAGAGAGCCTCCCTGTGGTTTGGGGTGCATCACGTCCAGCCCAGCGGACACCGCACATGTGACCCGTGAACCTAGCCGGGCCGAATCTGCCGCGGGACTCGCAGCAACATGGGTAACATCGGGGGCCTTAGCCGGCTACCATGCTAACTTATTTTACGGCAATTAACAGGTTGCTAAGGAGTCTGAGCACCACCTGGAACTGTCCAACCGGACACCTCTGTCCAAGACATCCGAATTTCACCAGCAGACGGGAAGGGAGAACATGGTTGTCGTCATGGAGTTTGCAGGTTTTCAAAGAAATCTGATACATCACAGAGTGCCTCGAGAGAATCACGTAGAGCAGAACCGCGACTCTGAAGGTGAGTCATTAAACATGGCTGGCTTTGTCATGCTTCTTCTGACGTTTTTAAGACATTAGGCTCTTTTAAGGGGGGCATCTTAGAGATGTGCCTCCAATTCCTTGTTACCACCTCAGTATTAAGATCTGTTGTCCATGATTGCATTATCACTTTGGAAAGAGGACAGTGACCTGCAGACGATCCCGCTACTTGTGGGTGCTGACCTTGACTCACGTCAATACATAAGCGATGCACATTCGCGCAGTTACGCTGGTGCATTTATCTGACTGCATCTACGAACACACCGGTGCTACAGGTATCAAAAAAACAAGAAAGTTAACATTAAGAAAGACTTCAACACTAAAAGTGCGCTCACAAGAGGCAGACTTCTAAGGTTAATACTGCGAGGTCACCCAAACCCCTGTCGAAATTATCCAATTATATCGAGCAGAGCGGTCCTCCATCAGCCAATTAATTTGCAGAGTCACCACCTTGAGTTATGCGGTGGTGCGTCGGAGCTCGGTAGGTCACGCGTGAGGCGGGGGCAGCTGTTTCACGACAGTGATGGCCAGATGGCCCCCATCACGCCTGCTTAACGGCATTTGTTTGCGGAGGTGGGGGGGGGGGGTATCACGAAAGGCCGTCCAATCAGCAGGCCTGCTTTCATATAAAAACAACAAATAATAATAACTAAAATAGTACCAGATGTTAAATGTCTGTTCCCCGTACCACAAAATGCCTTGAAACAGGGAGTCTAACATGGTGTTTGCATTATGGAATGAAGAACTGTGTGGCTACACTCCCCTCCTCCCCTCCGCCACGGGATGCTGGTCTCCCTGCCAGAGTGACTCCTTCACGAAGCAGCTGTGAATAGCCCACTCAGAATCGCGAGCGGCCCCCTTTGCTGTGGCTGACAGCTGGCGCTGGCTGAGGAGGGGCTACCATTTGCATAAAACTAATGAGGAGACGCTTCGTTGTTCCATGTGCTGACATGGATGCACTGGACATTATACACAAAGTTGCAAAAAACAATAATAAAAAAAGGGAATGGAGAACTCTACATTTTCTACTGAGATTTCTTTGTACATTGAGTATTTTTGTGTAAATGCCAAGAAACAAAGTGGATATTCTTAGACCCTCCTACGTGTAGTTTAATGATACTAATATTAAACTGAATATTGCTATCTGTCCTCAGTCTGGAATCACAGAGCTATTGCACGATAAACAGGGTAAATACTGGAAATTTATGGCACTCTTCTAGAATATTCTGCATCAACAACAACCAGATTAATTAAACAATAGTTAAAATGATTTGGTTCACTGGTCAGGAGAGAGCGAGTCGTTAATTTAATTAAATAATTCGTTCAGTCATCTGCGTTCCTCTCTGCAATTTTGTGGTTTATTCTCCTTACCGTCGACACAAGAGCAACTATTCTCTTTAATACTGTGAAATAAATAAGTTAGACGTTAGCGATTTTTTTAAAGCCAAAATGGTATCACCATCATCAGTAAAAAGTATACAAATAAATAACTGTGGCTTTATGAAAAAATCTAATATACCAATATGGTATGGAGGAATCACATCATCATTCTTAAACAGGCGCTTCATATTGTCACCTCGGTCAGTAGGCACTTTGTATCGTCTGGCTGAAGAGTCCATTTCAGTCCCGTCCTTCCGATGGCTCATTTAAATTCGCCAGCAGCAAAGCGCAATCCCGGTCAAAGCCCGTAGGCCACCCTAGCCGCCCCCCCCCCCCAATATACTTCACCGCCCAGTTTCACTGTGTCTTGGAGAGGGTAGGGGTGGCACTTTGCTTAGTTGGTGCCCCTTAGAAGCCACCCTAGGTGGCTGGTAAAGGGTGAAAGGGTGGTCCATGGGTAACAGTACACCTCCCTTGCCCCACACGGGCATGAGGACTGATGTCCCCATGACGCCTGTGCCTTTACACTGTCGACGCAGATGTTAATCTGGGCGGGTGGGGTCCTCTGTAACAGGCAGGGGGCCACAACACACCCGTTGCACCTACGACCATGAACAACGTCAAATGAAACATTTAGGGCCGCGGAGGTCGATCCGGAGCGCATTTATAGACCATGGACTGAAATACCATGTCACCTGTGAAGGTTCGGCGTGATTGGCTGGCGACCGACGTGTCTGAGCACAGTGGGAGATGGAGGTCTGTACTGCACAGTACTGACATGCTTTCCCCGAGTCAGGAAGACAGTGAATTTGGGCTCAGGTTAAAAGCCGCAATCAGAAAACGTAACGTACTCCAGACCTGGACCCCCCTCCCCCCCCAGCATGAGAAGAAAGATGCAGGAGACCATAGTGAAGACGCCGGCCAATGGTACCGAAAGCCTGCGGTGAAGGCAAACTACTTTCAGATACAGCTGCATCACCAAAACCTCGTTCTGCTTTTCAGGCTGATAGCGATCACGCATCGGACACCTCGGTTGAGTTCTGTGCCTCCCCCCCCCCCCCCCCCCCCGAGTGATGCTCCACCTGGCTGCTGATCTCACGGATGGATGTGCTGCTTTCCGCCAGACTGTGTCCCCTCTTGAAGACGGCCGAGTGATGATCTGGCTTGGAATGAGACGCCCGAAATGGCAGCTCCTCTCTAGATCGCTCCTCTTACTTGGCCGTGGCTTGCTGACCTTCATTGCATCCTACTGGAACATCCAGGAATCGATAAACCATCAACCAGTGAATTAAAACACTGTGACTTTTTTCCAAAGTGTACAAATAAGCCATTTTTCACCCGTCCCATAGCTAATGATAAGTGAAAACAAACTCGCAGTCTATTGAGACGTCCAGTACTGCATACAATACGATGAAACCACGTGGTGTGCAGGGACCTTTCCGGCTTGAACAAGTCAATCCTTCACACACTCTAACCCCACTCCCCATCCCACCCCCCACCGTCCCACTCTATCTCTCTGTCACAGTGCAGGACAATCCACTGTCCTTAACAGTTGTCATTCCACAGAATGTTTGGGTTAAAAACAAATTAAGAGTGAAGACGCCTTCTCACTTTTGGGAAAGTCTTGAAATTCCTTCAAATCCAGTGGGACTCTTAAAGTTCCTCAGACGGCCAATAACAAAATAAAAACAAAAAACAAAAAGTAAACAACAAAAAAAGCCAAAAAATGCATGGTTATACACAAGGGTGCGGACTCCTCCCGAGGACTGTGATTGGCTGGCAGAGAGGGGCGGTCCTCGTGGGGGTGGGGCGGCTGGAGATGGACGTGCTGGTAGAGGTAGTGATGGAGACGGGAGACGTGGGGGACGGCAGCGGCGGCCCAAGTCCTATAATAAGTGAGCCTCGAGACGCAGCCAGTGGAGCCCCTGCCTGATGTAACGCACCAGGTCTGTCATGCTACTGTGCTGTGTGAGCGGCTCCATCACCGAGTCCAGCTCCAGAAAGAACTCTGAGTGGGAGAGAGAGAGACAGAGTGAGAGAGTGAATGAACAGGAAGCGTGAACAGGGAATATACTGGGGAGCACTGGAGGGAATTGAGGTGGCAAAGACCCCCCCCCCCCCCAGCAGTGGGTGGCAAATTCTCCTCCTCTGAGGCTGAGCAGTGCTCACTACAGGCTGTTAGGTCAGGACTTGGTTATACAACAAATGGCTTCCGTGTGGCGCTCCGTTCTGGGCTCATGTATTCGCGAGCGCTGTGGCGGATGGCAGGTTCCCCCCGGGCACCTTGGCTCTCGCGTGCCAGCCGGTCCGCCGTGTCCCAGTGCTCGTAGCTGCGCAGCACATTGTTGGTGATGTTGACGTGACTCGCCGCCATGTGGTGGATGCGCTGGGGGATAGCGACGCAGCCGCTGGGCGAGGGGCCTCCAGGACCAGTGCCGCTGCTCACCGAGCTCACGGGCGACGAGCTCAGGGACATGGGTGACGGCGTGCCTGTGCCCCTGGGGGGAGAGGAGGGCCATAGGTCAGGGGTCAGGGATCAGAGGCTAGGCCGGGGCATGCTGCCCTTTCACTCATCATCATGCTATCAAATTAGCTTGTTTACTTATTTATCCACTACGCAGTGAGCAGGCTCTGGTTGTTTAACGTGTAGCTAATTAAGGTCCATTTCAGAGGACCAGAACCAAGCACGTTCACCTTTCCTGACCTTTACAGACAGGGTTCACTATGAATACACAGACTGTGACCTGACTGTAAGATCATACCGGCAATTTATATAATGCATCAAATCGGAAAACAGTGGTACACTACTCCCACTGACCAGGGGAGGCGCCTGTAACTCTTTGTAGGCCTCATGGGGGGGGGGCCTGACCTGGGACGACCTCGTCCCCGGGCCTGTGTATTTGTCCCATAATGCCCTTCCAGCCAGGCTAACCGCTAATCGCTAATGCTGATGTTGGCTGCCAGGGCTCTGAAGGGGCTCCTTCTAACTGAACAATTATGGGCCTCTGTGCCACTGGGAGGTTCCAGCCATCAGTCAGAGGCCGCATTCATCAGTCTCTCAGCGCAGAGCCCGACAATCCGGCTCCGAGTACCGTCATTCCGTGCCGAAATGGGACGCACTCCCCCTGCAAACGTAAATTATGCCCCCTGTCAGCAGTCTTGCTCGTTCCGGGCCATGCTGAGGTTTTTACTCAAACAAACAGTCCCTGGAAGGAGGAGAAAGCAAAATAATGTGTGATTCATGACTGCGGTGTGGGGGGGGGGGGGTCAGACGAAAGGTGAACAAACAAAGCCTGGAATGGAGGCCGACTCAAATCTAATGCTGATTACAGCTGCAGCAGGTGGGGGTCCAGAACCCCCCCATACTGTAGCTCCCCCCGCTGCATGGGCAGCAACCTTACCAACAGCACAGGGGGGTAAGTCACCACTGAGCCCTGGAGAGGGCTGTGCTGAGGGCCCATCACCCAAAATCGACCCCTGACTTAAGTTAAACACAGTATTTAACTTAGCACTTAGCTAGGTTCTAGTACATTCTTACGTTCCACCTCCCAAAATTAGACTGTGCTCTCACAGTGTGATTGGATATCTTGCCATGTTTGACAGGGGCTGGACCCTGCACCAAGTGTGTCAGGGGCTGCTCATCCCGCCACGTCCAATTGGGGCTGGACCCCATGCCACATGCGATTGAGGCTGCACCCTACAGCACGTGTGATTGGGACAGGACACTACAGCACAAATGATTAGGGCCACATATAATTGGAGTTGGACCCCATACCATGTGTGACTGGGGCTGGACCTTACGCCACATGTGATTGGTACTGGTCTCCCCGTCATGTCTAGTTGGGGCTGGACCTGTGATTGAGATTGGACCTTACAGCACGGCCATGCCACATGAGATTGGGGCTGGACCCTATGCCACATGTGATTGGGATTGGACACCACATCATCTGCAATTGGGGCCAGACCTTACACCACATACAATTGGAACTGGACACCACATGAGATTGGTGCTGGACCGTATGCCACATGCGACTGAGACTGGACCTTACACCACATGTGACTGGAGCTGGACCCTACACCATGTGCGATTGGGGCTGGACACCATGCCACAAGTGATGCACACCAGGAGACTCTGAGTGTCAAGATGGCACTGGGCCCACTTACTTTCCATTTGCTCCCAAGGGAGAGGGCGCTTGTGACGGCTTGGTGGAGTTCTGAAACAGAGACAGTGTCAGCAAAACGCATCTCCAGTTTCCCCTCATGAGCAGACCACCAGGCGAGGCCCGTGCCCAGCGGTGCAGCTTTGGGCTGAGAGTTACCTTGAAGTACTCCATCAGCGAGCGGGAGTACTTCATGGCGTGGTCCTTCTTTAGTTTAAACATCCTCAGATAAAGCAGGGATAAACACCGGTAGCTGTAGACACAGACAGAGACACGCGATCAACACACGATCGACTTCTCAAACCTCCACTCAATAACAGACGCATAATATCCTAACTAAATTTTAAACCATGTGACACAAAGCAGGCAACATAAATGTGAAACTGAAAACCCAGTTTATGTGATGCTGCCGATCAGCAATGGTGCCCATTGCCCCACGTAACTGTTGCCGAGATACCAGCAGTGCCCAGTATGTTCTGACCCCCCTCCCCTATTCACAGACCCCTTTCCTGCTGATTGAAGCAGCGGCTGGTAGGGAAATCATGAGTTATGTTGTAATAGCTTAATGAAATACAGAATAAAGGGCCACTTTAAGCTGATTAAGTGCTTCAGCTGTGTTTAAAGCTCCTTCAAGATAGAGCCGATTGTACTGGATATTTAAATAGCATTTTAGCAGGGCTGAGAATTTACCATCTGATGCTTTTGAACAGCGCTGGGTTTCACACTCCACTTTTGGGGGGGGAAGGGGGGGCTGGGTCAGACCCACATGTGCACGCGCATGTGTGCGTGAGGGGGCAAGCAAGGTAAACAACTTACCACAAGACGGCTAATTTCTTCTCTGCAACGGTTGCAGAATGGCTGGTGAAGTTCTTTAACCTCATGGCGTACCTTTAAAAAGCATGTCAGTGTGAAACTCTCCAGTGACACTAGCGAAGGCCGACAGTCTGAGGGAGGCGCTATTTCCTGAATATGCATCCCTAACTCTAAACTTATCCTGAACACCTCTGGCAGCCTCCCGTTGTTTCAGTAACTATCATGGCTGCACGGCGATTTCCTAACACAGCAAGTAGAGTAAGGACGACATCATAGCTAGCTAGTTGGTTAACAGAACATGCTGCGCCAGCATTTCCTAAATAACTGATGTGTTTATTTAATATTTAGTGTAGTGACTGCTTGTGCCCAATAGGGGGAACAGGACCCACCTGATGAGCTCAACCGTCTCTGAGTACATGGTGTAGGGTGACTTGGCTTCCAGGGGGTCCCGCTCCATTGCGTTGCCGCACTCGATGAACGAGAGTGCGCCATCTGCGTAGTTTACCGCCTTGCCGAACTTCTCCAGCTGCGCGGGGAAGAGGTGAGGGTTGGTGGTGAGTGAGGGGGTTAGGGTTAGGGAGTCAGTGGAATGCGTTTGGGAACACGGATGGTAGCACTGAACCCCAACATTCTCAGATTCTGACAGGGAACAAAAAAAACTCATCTAGATGGGTCATTACTACATCATCATTATTACAGTGCTACACCTTCACCACCATCACAGTCTTTAAAAGCACCATCACCTCAATCATCATCATCATCATCATCATCATCATCATCATTCATTTTTGTGACCACTGTCCTCTGTTAACATCCCAATCCCGATGATGCTGCTAGCCCCCCCTACAGGTCTTACATGGAATGTCACATTTCTCACAGTCCCTCCTGCCAAAATGCCCATCCTTTCCGTTTCATGGCAGTGAAGGAGATTTGTGGGCCCCTGTGAGGTCTATTAGTCGTAAATGAGCCCTGTAACGCAGGCCGCTGGCTGGCCTCTACATCCTGGCTAATCAGCTCCCCTTGCCTTGCCTTCCTGTCATGCTGCAGGTCCCCGACCAGATTTGTGACCAAATAGATGGCTACACATCTTCAGTATGGCGACATGTCTAGGGAGAGATAAACCATAGGCAACATTTTCCATCTTCCCGTGGAGCAGAGATCGCCCAGGTTCAGGGTTAGCACCAACCCGTGTTTCTGCTGGTTCTGGGCACTCGGAGAGTCTGTGTTTCATTGTCCGCATATGCTAACTAGGTACATAATAGTATATTGTGCCATGATAAATCGTGGTGCAAATTTATGACAATTCAAATCAGAAATTTAAAAAATAAACCACAAAATTGCAGAAAAAATTATTAACAGGTTGCATATTTTACTTAGCTTTTCCTAGCTGTAATGGTGCTGTTTTGACAGCAGAAGGTGCAATAACTTGGCCTTTCCCTGTACCAGCAATCAACTAAACAACCTGCAGAAGTAACACCTTGGAAAGGTGACATGGTTAAGAAAAGCCCTATGTGTTAATAACTTTTTTCATTTTTAATAAAAAGAATATTTCAGTTAATAGGCAATAATATTTTACTCCAACTTTTACAAATGTTTGTAAATAGTTATTGTAATGTTGTAATAATCGTGGGAAAATCAAATCGTAAGCCCAGTATCCTGAGTCATGAATTGGGTGAATCGTTACACGCCTGTTGCTACAGCCGGGTAAGATGTGTTCTTAGGCTTTATAGTTTAATGAACTCGTAAGGAGAATCAGCCCTCAGTTCTCTTTGCAATGTCTGTGAAACTGTCCTACGCATCCAGTAAGCCTAGATGGATGATTTATTAATGCAAAGAAAATCCACAAGCAGGAGGTAAAACATGGTGCTCTGGGCTTTGACTGTTGTGTCAGGGGCCCTGCGAGAGATGGCTGGACCCTGAGCTCTGCATATAGCTGTTTGCAGCCCCACACGCCGATGCTGAATCACAAGAACATATTGTCAGGCTGCAATCCCTACTCCGCCACAACAAGACCATCTCTCTCTCACCCTCTCGCTCTCTCTCTCTCTCTCTCTCTCCTCCATTTCATTGAGCAATCCGATCTTTTCCCTCAAGGGGTTTAACATCTGTAAACTGCTGCCCTGATCACAAAACATGGATACATCAGCCATTCATCTAGATTAGGGTCAAAGGGCACACAGGGTACAAGGCGGGGGACAATCTGGACGGGACCTGGGACAGGTTTGTTATTTCTGTGGCCCCACTCAAAAAGTCAGCACCCCCCCAAGATGTATCTATAACTCAATAGCTAACTAGCTAAACAACTAGTGAGTTGAGTCAGAAGATCAAAGCTAGCTAGTTGGTTAGCAAAATATGCAGCATCAGCATCAGCTACATAAAGAATGCATTTATTTAATATTTGGCGTAGTGACTGTTTGTAGCCAACAGGGAGCCCCCCAAGTTCAGGGCCCCCATGCTAATGGTTTGGCTGGTAGTAAACACCAATGCCGGAAGATCATGCATAATGAGATAAAGGCCAAGGAGAGAGGGCAGGCTCTTACCAGGGCGTCAGCTTTGTGCTTTAACCGCTTGGCCTCCTGCATGTAGTAGTCGGCGTTGTGGAGGCTGTAGGGGGAACAGGGCACAGAGTGAGCTTTGTTCCTGCCAGCACATATGCAGCCACTCAAACACACTCGCCCTGCGCTTCATCTTCAGGCTCCTCCATTTATCTGTCAGCTCACTGTGACTCAGTCTAACGCGCCACTTCCAGCATAAACAGATTTTTTCTTTTCCCACAAGAGCTATAAATTGCCTGGAACAGTCAGGCTGGATGCTAAATAGGGAGAAAATGATTAGTCACACGTAGCGAAAGCTCTAAATCTTTATAGTTTTAATGGAGACTGTGATTCACAGCTCCTTTCAGCCGCAGACAGGGGAGGTAAGCAGGCGGGAATGCTGCACAGGAAGTCTGCAGCACCTGATCGCGCTGTCAGTTATCAGGGGTTAACAGGTGGACAGAGTTGCAGCAGTGCTGCTCTGTGATTGGCTGATCTACGAAGGGGCGGGTCAACAGTGAGCTCTGGCTCCGCCCAGCCCCGTGTTCCAGCACGTACATGTTGCTGAATGTCAGCTTGGGCCTCCTGGGCTCCGGATGGTCCGCCGACACCGATGGCGGGTTGGACCACAGCTCGATGTCGGGCTGCCCGTTGCCATGGAAACTGCCGGAAGGCTTGCCGCGGGTGTCCTCTTCCTGCGAGACGAGGAGAGAAGTGATTAGGAGCAGGTTCGGACTTAATGGCACACTGATGCTCCCTGGTGAGGTGACACTGCGGGTACATTACAGCCACTCCCTCAGTCTCTCAGAACATGGGAGAGCTGATTCTGACTCCTCTCTAGTAAATAATTAAAATTGTGAAAAGCACAAGGATTGCTGGGAAAAGCCTGAGGCACATGAGACGTTTCCAGCAGAGCTCTGAATTTACAACTTATTCTGTTTACAAAATGGGCATTTTATTTCTCAAAGCGTGTGGACTCAGGTGTCTAGTGAAGACCGTTAACTGAACCCTAATTACCCTGAAACAACAAAATCAGGCACTTCAGAAAAGTACTGAATCTGCAGATTTGCACAAACAGAAATAATTCTGATATACTTCAGGCCATAGAAATTCATGGCCTGCATTGATTATTGTGACTTTTATTGTGATTCATAGATGTAATGGTAAATGACGGTCAGGTGAATCTGACAGCACGACTTTGGTTTTATTCCCGAAATGAATAACCAGAAATGACACCGGCTGGCTTAAAAAGTATGTCCATGAATGGTTTTTAGAATCAGACTTATCCTTAAAGCTGCATTAAACGCCACGCTGCTAACCCACCTCAAGAGCTTGTCCAGAAAAGGTGGAAAGTTCAGGTCCAGAAAGCACAAATCCAGACTAAGGTTTTGTTTTAACCAACCATCAGAGTATAAAGAGTCACAGTCACAGAGTACTAAACTGGTTGGTCAAAACAAAATCTGGATTTGTACTTTCCCTGACCTGAACTTTCCACCTCTGACATCCAGGACATCACCATGGACACAAAATCCACCCCCCCCCCCTCCCCCAGGGCTTATGATGCTCACCTTGGAATGGGCTGGAACCTTGCTGTCCCCTTTGCGGTGCTTGTGTGAGGAAGAAGATGAGGAGGAGGAAGAGGAAGACGAAGAGGAAGATAAGGGTAATGGGCAGCTAGAGGGAAAGGAGCCCGCCACGGAGGTCGGGGGAGGGACGGCTTCGGGGCCGAAAGAGCCACACCCCCCAGGTGGGAATTGCCGGATGGGCTCATCAGACAGGGGCGACAGCAGTGGAGGGAGGAGCTTCTCATCCCTCTTCCTGGGCTGCTTCTTCGACGAGCTGGATGCAGAAAGAGGAAAAGCCCCCCCGCTCGGTCAGGCTGCACACGTGAATGCATCATGCATGCTCCATCTGAGAACGGTTCCCCCCACGTGCTCAACACGTATCGTATCGACAGAATTACGAGTGCACTCCAAACAATTAAAGCTACTAATGGCACTACAGACGCCCTCCAGAGTGATTAACACTGCACAAGTCAGTGTGCAGAGGCAACTAGGAATTAAACATGCCATCGGCTTTATGGAGACACAAACAGCCGGTAACTGCGACTGAAAAAAAGAGCAGCGGAGGCACCGAAATCAGAAGCACATGACATGGAGATGGGAGCCAACCAGAGAAGCGTCACATTATCGAGAGTCAGGTGATACAGGGACTGGGCATGTGATGCTGCAGGCCTCTGACTCCAGTGCCAGTGTGTAGCCAAAGGCAGCTGTTAGCAAACCCAGTGTGGGCTGATTCCCAGGATAAGCAGTGCCGTAGCACCATGAGATAGCGACACAACATGCAAATTCAGCGTAAATGGCTCTGCGAGCAAAGTAAGGAAGCTGAGGAAATGGATAATGGGTAGGAAAGTGTCAGGACAGCTCGAGGCGGACTGTCACAATTGGGCAATAACCAAGAGCAGCACTTGGATGCAGGTTTTGGGGTCTGCTGCGTTCAAGTTTCACATTTACATTTTACTTATTTATCTGACTCCTCTATCCAAAGCGAGTTACACTACAGAAAAGGGTCACAATTTTAGGTATGCTCTCTGAGATTTGAGCCCACAACCTTTGCATTGTCAGCACAATACTCTACTTGTTGAGCTACAGGAGGGCATTGCCCCAGTTCTATTCTTGCTACTGGAGACCTATCCCAGCCTGAGTAGGGGGTCACCCTTGGCCTGTCCTGGAATAGCAGCACTTGAAGACACACGTGTTAACTGGACACTCCCTACATGAACACCAGAAAACACGTCACAGGAAGGGGCAGGACTTAGTAAAGAGCAGAAAGTATCAACTGGCTGAGTGGAGGATGGCTTCCGAGCCCCGATATCCGCTGGTGGCGGTTCTCTAAACGCACGGACAAGCGCTCCTCCTCAGCTCTGCCCGGGGTTCTCTCCTGGGGAACACGGCGTTCTCTGTTTTCACGTCAAAGCTAAGACCTCGCTCTGGTTCTGCCCAAAGTTCTGTGGATCGTTGCGGCCCTCCGGGACCCATGGAGAAACTGTGAGTATATCAGGTTTCTCTTCACTTGGATATTTTAAAGAGCTTCCCAGGATGGAAGTTGGGGGGGGGGGGGGGGGGGCACCTGTACCTGCCTGGCCATTTAAACAGTGTGGTAGCAGTTCGCAGGCCAGCAGGTCAGAGCAGATCCACACCGAGGAGCCTGGGAAGACCCCTGTGATAACCACCCCCCACTCCTTAAGCACTACTGTCTGCAATGAGCTTCCTCACATCTAATTTATTGTGGAGGGGGGAGGTAGGGGAGGGGGAGAGAGCAGGGTCTGGCTGGAGGGGAAGGGGGGCAAACTGCACAAAATTTCTGGCTCGGCTTGTGCTCCTGGAGAAACCCTGCACGGAGCTCCTGGTGGACATCACAGTTGCTATGGAAACTGGAGTTGTACGTGCTCTTTTTCCTTAAAAAGCGTTATAGTGGCCACTTGCTTGGACTGCAGGGGGGGAGACATACTCACTCTTTAGTGCTGGTGAACTTGTGGCTGTGTACGGGGGATATGCAGGGGGGCTGGAGACTCGACTCCAGACGTGACTTCTTGGTCCCACTAATAGGTTCGCAATTCTCCGACTGTGAGAGAAAATGAGAGAGATGACAATTTAAACAAAAATATGCAGATCGCCCCCTACAAGAGGGGTGGGGTCACTGCAGCAGGGGAGAGAGGCAGCAGTTGGGACCGGGCAGCTTGCCTTGTGTTTTCTCTTGGATTTGCTTGGGGGCTTCTCAACTGGCATGGACACAGGCGATTGCCGGCGGTGCCTGGTGACAGGGTCCCTGGGCTCTGGCTTGGTCAGGGCTGGCTCCGGGGGGTCCCGACCAGGCACCCGGGTTAGGAAGCTGAGCTCAATCTTGACCCACAGGGACTTGACCTCATCGAGGTCTCGGAGTGGAGACAATAGCTCGTTGGGTGCCATGGGAATGGGGGAGAAGAGGGGGTCATCCAACAGGTCAGTAGCCCCCGGGTCCGGGATGGAGGCGCTACTGGTACTCGCCAGGCTGCTCACGCTCAGGATGTTGCCGCTGCAGTCCTTGGACTTCAGGGGCCCTGGGCCACTGGGTCCTGGGCAAGGAGGGGGCACTTTGGCCAGTTCCTCTGGATCTGAGTGGCACTCAGATGAGGAGGACTCTGTCTCGATGAACTCCTTGGACTTGGGGACGATTTTGCTGGGTCCCCGGTGCTTCTTCTTGTCCTGCGTGGTGGGTGGGGCGGCCGTGGCCGTAGACCGTGGCTCCTTCCGGGGGGCGCCCTTTCCCCTTCCTTTGGTGGGCTCTGGTGGTGGGGGCTCCTTCTCCTTGGCGATAGCACTGGGGTTGCTGGGCTTGGGCCATCCGTGTGGGTCCTCCACGCTGGGGGTGCGCTCAGCCTTGCGGGGCTGTTTTTTCCCTGTGCTCCTCCGGAGTGGCACTGGTTCCCCGCTGGCTGGGGACTTGGCCCTGGCACTCTTGCCCTCGGGTGGCTTCTGGCCTGTCCGGGGTTTGGCCTTGTCCCGCACAGGGCTGAGGAGCGCCCGGTCCTTGTTCTCCAGCGGTGCCAGTGGTCCCGGGGGTTTCCCCTTGCTATCCTCGGCCTGACCATCCCCTGGGCCATGACTCTCTGGCTGGCTATGGATGAGGGCCTTGCTGTGAGGGTTCACCTTGTTCAGCCACTTGTCAAGCTGCCACTTGTTGGTAGAAGGCGGCTCCGGCTGGAAGAAGACAGACATCAAAGCGTCAGAAAGCCTGTGAGCATCTACGAGGGCTGGATAATTATGCAGATAATACCCCCGATAACACAGCGACACATAAAGCGCTGCGTGTTGATGTGTCACAGAAGAATAGCGATGGTTTCCCATCATCTGAGCGCAAGCAGCACTGAAAAGCCTCTTAGGATTGATGGATTGTTTGCTCGATGTCTTGCTTGTAGCAGTCGGGGTTTGAGACCTTCGAGCGCTTTTGTCAGCCGTGTTATCTCCCATCGCGTGTCGTGCCGCCTCGCCTAATCACAACAATAAATCTTCCAAATGAATACCTGAGGTCTGCCCTGAATGATTTTATAAACGATGAGTGAGCCATTCGGAAAAAAGAAACCTGAAAGGGACTGGCAATTACAATGAGCCACCTCAATGAATATAAACTCATTTAAAGCCAGCATCTACAGCTGACGGTTAACAGACTATTCGGCACGATATCATTCGATGTTACTGTCTATAAAAGGTAATCTTCTGGCCCTCTGCTTTCCCAAGCATCTGAGTGTACATCTCGAGCTCGTGTTGTGATGACTCCGGGCTGTTATGAGCTCGGAGTTTAAAACCCGCAGGAACGCTGATTAATATTGATGGGCCTCGCACGCGGAAACGCAAGAGCCCCCTGGATTGTTTATAAAACATCACAGTGCAACGTTCTCACAGGAGATCTCCGGTTGGTCTGCTCCGAGGAGCCTGAGGATATGGGTAGGCCGATCGGTGAAAAGTTTGAGCAGCAATGAATTCTGGGTAGGTAGCAAGGGCTGGGGAGGGGGTTCTCAGTGCGAGCCACAGGCACCCAGGGCGTACCACTGTTGTGAGGCTCAAATATGCCAATTAGAGTATTTTTGAGACCTATGCAGACTGTCCTCTTTTATGCATGCATGCCGCAGGGCCTATCGGGGTAGGGGGCAGAATTAAATTACCCACAGTCCTCTTTGCAACATGTCTATCTGCTCCTTTTGTGGTAAATGAGCATGCAGAAAAGTAAACATTTTCTTAAAGAGTATTAAGAGCCAGCAGGAAGGCAGTCGTACCTCGGGTGTGGCTTTCCGGGACGCCCCATTGCCCTCGCTGTCGCTGGAGCTGCTCTCGCTGTCTGAGTCCGACTCAGAGCTGCTTTCTGATTCGCTGGAGCTGCCCGAAGCACCGCTGGAGTGGCCTGCTTCACTGGAGCGAGTGGCCGGCCCGGGGAGGCTGAGAGAGAGGAAGGCAGAGGTGAGCTGGATCTCGCTGCCTTGAGTGGCCCGCCCCAGGACCCGGTTATGGCCAGTGCGGACAGTGTACCACTCGGCTGGCTCTGGGGGGTCGTCACACCTTGCGCTGGGGACGTCGGCATTACCCACAACTCTCTGCAATCTGGCTGAACCCATATTAAAGGAGCTCGCCACTCTCCCAGGCCACCACGGCGCTCCCCAGTGCGTTGCCTGACCCACGCCGCTGACTCCTGTTCTCCACGAAAACCGTATCTCCGCCTCCCATCCTTCTGCCGGCAGCCACCGCCGTGGCCTGCTACACAACATGCTGTCGAGGGCCGCCTGACACTTCTGAAGGTGCCACTGACACTCAGATAAACCACTCGACACTAAGAGGGAGGGGAGAAGACCTGACGCCCCCCCACGCACACTCATGTAACTGCAAAGTGATGTTTACACAATCACCACACGCTCTTGGAGGGAGCCCTTAATCCAGATCCTGCTCAACATGCTATTTATAGGTTACCCATCTATCTTATAACCGCTTTTCCTGCTGCAGAGTGCAAGAGTGCTGCAAGTACATCCCAGGAAGTACAAGCCACAAGGCTAGTGGGCGTTCTGGATGGGATGTCAATCCGCAACCAGGCATGCATGCATGCACGCACGCACACACACACACACACACACACACACACACACAAAAAGAGAATGAGGAATGCAGAGTAACACAAATGGGATTCAAACCCACAATCCTGGAGGTGTGAGGTAGCATTGCTCATTTGATCAAAACATGCTGTCCGGCATGCCTTCACCCTACCCCCCTGTGGCCAAAGTATGACCTTTGAAGCTGTTCACTTGCTGGTCGCTAAAACACTTCAAAATGCCAATGACTCTATATAATTAAGTCTCGAAACAAGATTATGGACACATAAACGTAAACACTGCACCGTGCACACACTCCCCGCCTGGAAACCCACTGGCTTAATTACATTAGAATTCCCTCATCCAGAAAAGTCTTCCAGGTCCTGCATCGATTCACCGGGAATTAGTGCGGAATCAGCTTAGCCACGCTTCGGCATACTGGCCGAGCCACGGCTGGCCGCTCCGACAATGTGCCGGTATCACACACCCCAGGCAGCCCTTAGAGGGACCTGCAGCCAGCTAAACAGATTGTCACCATACTCACACCTTAAGTCACCATACTCACACCATAAGTCACCATACTCACACCATAAGTCACCATACTCACACCATAAGTCACCATACTCATACCTTAAGTCACCATAAGTCACCATACTCACACCATAAGTGACCATACTCACAGCTATATGATTTACTGTCTTCCAGGAAGAAAGTGAGAAACCATCAGAGACTGCTCACCTTCGACCCCACCCCCCGAACTTTGACCCCCCCACTCTGACTTTTGACACCAGGGCTTGAGGATCATAACGGCTCTCCAGCTGGCCCTGCACTGGTACCAGAACCCACCACCAATGGGGACGAAACACCCCCAGGAGAGTGATTTGAACTGGACCGACCTGAGGCCAGCAGGCCCCACTTTAGCAGGGAACCACAGAATTCAAAGGAATCCCAGCAGATGGACCCCCCCACCCCCACCCCCCGCTGAGCCCAGGGCTGCGGGACAACCAGGCTCAAATCAGCCCTGCAAAGCCCCCTAGTTCATTTCCTGTTTGTTGGTAGTGTCTGATTATTTAAACATCAGACAGAGTCAGGCTGGGGGCCGCACGGGTCCACACGTAGGGCATTAACATTCCGACACAAGCTCCCGGTCTTACCTTTCAAGGGCAGAACTGTCATGGTGCCTCCTCAATAAAGCTGGTTCCTTAATTATACATGTATGAATGGGGGACCGGAGGAGTTGGGAGGGCAGAGCCAGCCAGGAGACGGCGAGGTGCTCGCAGCACGCGTGCGTCTGACTCCATTCTCTCGGACACTCGATGCCTGATATCCATTTGCCGGCTCCGGGCTGCCAGCCGGGCCGATGTTCAGTCCTGTTTCTCCATACCAGCGTTCACGCCACTCCCAGAGGGACCCGGGTGAAGCTGTTTGTTTGTGTGTGGGAGTGTGCTGGTGTATCGCGGTGTGAGAGTGTGAGATAACGAGAGACGGGATGGGGGGGAGACAAGAGTTCCGGAGGCTTGTCATCCATAATTTATAGGTCCTCGGCTAGCCCCGCTGCGTTATTAAATGATCTTCAACACGCTGCACGCTCTATTATTTTTATAAATCACTCCAAAGTGCAACCTGTGCTCCGGAGCCACGGAAATGGTACCACTGACGTGGGTCGCCCCTGGACGCCCCGGGGCCTTTAATTGATTCAATTACTGGGTCGCAGCATGTAACATCCGTGTCAGCAGCGGGTCTCCGGTGTGCTGGGGCTTTTGGCGCCTGTCACATCCGGGAAAACTCAACACGGCCCATGCCACAGAGGTCCTGACCCCATCAGAGGACAGGTCATGTTTAGCTATTTGTCCTTTTTTTATACCATTTGTGTAAATGTCTCAGACATCCCAAGAAACAGCCCAAGGATGGTCCAGAGACGGGGTAAAGATGGTCAAGGAACCAGAGAAAGGGCAAAGATGGTCCAAACTTTGGCCAATGTGGACCCCAAATTTAGCCAGTGATGGACTAAATAGGGTCCAAAAATGGTTCAAAGATGACCTGATTTTGGTGGTGCCTAAAGCAGAGTGCGCATCAAGGTTTTCAAAAAGCTGATGAAATGAATTCTGCAGTACCTCAGAAGACCACCAACTCTGTAGGCCTCTTGGACCGTAACTGATTTGGCCTGGTTTACCATGGGGACGTGTTTAATTAGATTACAAAATGTGCCCCCAGTGGGCACTTGTGTGAAAAGGCCGCTTTCTTCAGCTGTGGTGTGTGTTAGAGCACGGTCAGATCATCTCCTGGGATGAGGACCTGACTGTACAGTGCCATTAGATGCATGGACCAGTAAGCTAAGTCTCAAGTGTGTCTATGCCTGTGTGAGCATCTGTGTGTGTGTGTGTGTGTGTTTGTGTGTGTGCACTAAATTGTGCTTGAGAAAATACAAGAATGTGTTTTCCCCTCTGATGCAGGTATTTGCGCTTGATTCGGGCCAGTGAAGGTAATCACAGGTCTCTGCCCTTGGCTAAATTGCTGGTAATTTAACATGCAAAGAAAAAACACACAGAGATGTGGTACATTTTACTGAATCACTTCAATTACTGAGGCGACATCCAGATGAGGAGCCGCAGAGGAGGCACAGAGGAGGTGCAGAGAAGCCGCGATAACGACAGGAATCAGAGCAGTTAGATAAATTCTCTACTGATGCCAGCTTTTACTCAGATAGAAGTGAAGGTGTGTCCCCCTATGCTTTCAGGTTTCAGTACATTGTGTGCTTTGTGTGTATGTATGTGAGATTGTGTGTGCTTTGTGTGTGTATATGTGAGAGCATGTGTCCCTTGTGTGTATGCATGTGAGAGTGTTTGTGCTTTGCTTGTATGTATGTGAGATCGTGTGTGCTTTGTGTGTGTGTGTGTACATGTGAGAGCATGTGTCCCTTATGTGTATGCATGTGAGAGTCTTTGTGCTTTGCTTGTATGTATGTGACAGCATGTGTGCTTTGTGTGCATGTATGTGAGAGCGTATGTGCTTTGTGTGTATGTATGTGAGAGTGTGTGTACTTTGTGTGTGTGTGAAAGCATGTGTGCTTTGTGTGTATGTACAGTATGCAAGAGCGTATGTGAGAGTGTGTGTGCTTTGTGTGTGTGTGTGTTAGACTTGTAGTCAAGACCGCCTAAACCAAGACCAAGACACTACCAAGACCAGAAGGTATCAAGACCAAGACAAGACCAAGACTAAAGACCAAGACAGACAGAGTCAAGACCAAGACAAAGTCGAGACGAGACCAAGACTGAGACTGAGACTAAAAAAAGAGACTCCCTTAACTTTTGTGTGCTGTTGAGGACTGACATGACGGGTACTGACTGGTCCCAAAGTCATCTGACAAAACAGCTAACACCTCCAACAACTGTCTAAAGGATGGGAAATATGTAACTGATTTCAATTATACTTAATTTGAAGATGAAATTGTAACATCAAATTGAAGATACACAATTATAAACTTGAAATTCCATCATGTCCCATTGTAGTAGTACTAGCCAAATGACACTGCATGATATCAACATCCCTGAAATGGATTAGGCCTGTTAGGTCAACACAACGTGATATGCAGATGTTATTTAAAAGTCAATGGTCACATTTATTTAGCCAAACAACACCATTTTAAGTAAAATACTGTAATCAAACAATACAAAAGACATGCTCACACGTCACATGAATCAAATGCAAGCTACAAATACTATATACCAAATTGTGCATTAATAAGAATAAGGACAAGTGCTTAAAAGATTCTGACATCTTGATGTCTGCAGTGGCATGTGATTTCACATTTAACTAACGTTTAACTAGCGCTACAATTATTTTGCGCATATAACGCGTATTTTGATTGGATGAGCGCCAATGTCTGAATCACAACAAAATGCATGTATGTCATTGATTGGTTGCATTTGAAGGGCGCGAAAGGTGAAATAATAATAATGTTGCATTATCGAACGTTATGTTGTGTGTCATGGATACTTTTCGTTCCAAATCTCCCGACCACTATGTCGATCTGAGACAGCAAGACCAAGACAGCAAGACCAAGACAAGACTGATGGATCCGAGACCAAGACAAGACCAAGACCATAGACCGTCGAGACTGTGACAAGACCAAGACAGCATAAAAGTGGTCTTGAGACCAGTCTCGAGACCAAGACCGGTCTCGAGAGATCCAACTCTAGTTGGTGTGTGTGTGTGTGTGTGTGTGAGAGAGAGAGAGAGAGAGAGAGCATGTGTACTTTTTGTGTATGTATGCGAGAGCATGTGTGCTTTGTGTGTGTGTCTGCTTTGTGTATGCATGTGAGAGCATGTGTGCTAAGTGAGTGTTAGTATGTACCTAGT